CAGAGAGCTAATTCTTTTATAATAATATAGAGTTTAAATACTGAAATCCAAATCTAGTTCACATCATTCTTGTTTCTGAGTGAACTTTTTAATCAGAGTAGCTGGCATGGTTTCAAATTTGATTTCCTGCCCCCTGGTGGAGGTGCTAATGAATAGTCAATTGACCAAAGGCAGACAGCCCAGTAGAAGATTTTAAAAAGCACACAACAGAATCTACAGATGCTGTATTATGAAGTTGTACACCTGAAACTTATATAATGTTATTAACCAGTGTTACCCCAATAAATTTAATTAAAAAAACAAACAAATGAGAAACCAAACCAAACCAAAAATCTGTATAATCCAAAAACGAGAAGTCAACCACTAAGAAACAAGCAGAACATTCACAAAATCAAAATACCTACAAAAAAGTGTTCCCTAACCAGCTTCACCTGTTCAAAGTCTGTTCTTTGCAATGATAAAATGTTCCCAAATTAAAAGAAAGCTGTGCCTTGGCCCGACTTTCCAATTTTTTTCTGAGGCTTTCAATTTCTACAAATACCCAGCTCAAAAGTAAGAAAAATAGGTTTTTTTCCCCTTATTGAGGGGCTGCTAATGAAATCTCTATCTCTGGGCCTAATCTAATTTGTATAAAGGCAGGCCGCTTATCCTTCCCATGGTCTCAAGAGCATCTGAAGCTATAGAAGTGCTGAATTATTGCCCATCAGTGATCAGCCAGGGAAGTGGAAGGCCTCTTGCCTCAGTGTTCCCCAGTAATCCACATTTTAATAAGTTCCTTAAGGAGAGAAAAGGTGTCTATTTCCTACGTGTATCTCTCATCTCCCTAAATAGAGAATAATCTATAAGGATGTTGACCAATTATGAGTTCAGAAATTTAGGCTTTATGCACACACCATGCTGATCATGCTGTTAAAGTCTTTTTTTTTTTCCCCCCCTGTCATTTCTCTCTGAAATGGCCTTACTTGGGTAGGGTGGTTCATTTAGGAGGGGGGAAAATGTACACATCCCAGGTTAGGAGTTATTCCCATGGCTACCTAAAAGTTTCCTGAGAAAGCATTAAATGTCTTTTATCTTGAATCATTATGTGTGGACACAATCATTGTTCCCTAGAGAAAAATCACCAAATCACAAAAATAACATAAGCCTCCACACAGCTGGAGTTCCCCTCTCGCTGGTCTAGGCTAACAAGGCGGAGATTGCAAACCTTGCCGGTCATGTTTGGCCCATAGTCATGTTTTGTTTGGCCTGCAGTGTTATATAATAATAAAGAACTGAATTTAGTTGCAAACATTTTGAAATCCAGAGATTGCATGTTAACAACCCAGATTTCTAACTTATCCTGAAAATTTGGAATTTCTGGCTATGTGGAGTTTGTAGCTCTGTGCCCTTGACACAGCAGCTCCAGTTCACCACCATCGACCCACCGCTTGTTTCATTCATGCAAATTACTTGTCTGAGACCTGAGGGCATTCAAGTTTGGGGCCTCAGATTTTGGGGTTCTGCCTTAAAACCCCAGAGTTTCAGTTTACATTTACTCACTCCACAATCAGGCTAAATGTTCTAAAGATCAAAATGATTGAAGGTATGGAGGGAGCCTTGCAATGTCATACATCCTGACGCAGGCTGATGTTTTCACAGAGCCTGAGATGTTGCAAATGTCACCATTCATTCAACAAATATTTATTGAACAACTACTACGTGCTGTTTCGAGCATTGGGGGGTACAGAGGTAAATAGAAGTTCTATAGCAAATGCCTTAAGAACGCAGTAAAACGTTCCTTCTGAGAGCCTCCCTTACTATGCAAGGGGCTTGCTCTCTGTACATTGTGACCTTGAGGCAGGCCACACACACAGAAATCAAAACCAGGATTTAGCCAAAATACAGATGACTACATATCCTGAAAGGTAAATGCTGAAGCCATGGGGATCAAATCCTCAAATGTCCAGGTTCTTTTACATCTACTCTGTATCAATAAAAACCGACCAATTTTGATCTTTAAATGAAGGCTACCCCTTCTTGCGCATCTGGAAGGTTCCTATTTGCTTCCCAGCATGCTCTCTTCAGCAATAAGAGGAGGCATGATGGTGTTGCTTTAGTTGCTGTCCGCCCACCCCCATCGGGAGCAGGTTTGTTTTGGTCCAGTAAGGAGACAGCTAGGGAAGAGCTGTAATCTCCGCCTGGAGGGGCAGGGCAGGTTTCCTGAACGCCGCTGGCCTGGGATGAGGAATGAACTGGGAGTGAGGGAGGGGGGGCCTGTGGTAAACTGCAGACCACATGGCTGGCCCAGAGGATGCAGCTGCTGCTTGGTTTTAGCCAACTGTTTCCATATAGAGATGTGGGTCTGCTATTGCCCACTCTCCATTTTTAAGAGAAGCCAGAAATCAGGATTCTTTTTTATGTTGGCAACAAGTTCAAAATTTTAAAAACCACTGCGTGGGCCAAACAAAATATGTCTGCAGGCTAAATCCAGCCAGTATGCAGCCTCTGAACTGAAGGAAAGGCACAGGCTTCGCAAATGAAATTCTGCCAGGGCACGCAGGCTCCAGACAGCTTGCATTAATAGAAAAAGGGGCAGAGGAATAAAGCATTTGTTGCCACGAATTTCTGTAATATTACCATAAAAAGATCAAATTCTTCTTCTCGTCGGGCGATCATTTGGTTCAGAGTCTCATCATCTGGTACTTCGTCTTCTTCCTGGGGTTAAGAAACAGAATGATTTAACAGGCTTTCGGGGAGATGTTGGACAACTGGAGTGAGGTACAAATGAGTGAGGTGAATGTGTCCTCCAAGCCATAGGGGTCCCATTTCTCAAGCCAGAAAGGAAAGAGGAGAGTCAGTGGGTATAGTACTTGCCATTAGTTTTTTCCAAGTTATTCAAACCATCTTCCTAAAGCAAAATCTGTTTAGGAAAGAAATGTGGTATGCTATAAGAAATACTGGTCCTCTTGGGTGTGTATCTTCATTCCCTTACTTTTAAAACAAGTTACTTAATGTCTCCCCGCCTCAGTGACCTCATCTGTAAAATGGGCGTGACATTTACATCACAGAGAAGATGTAAGATTTAAATAAGGAAAGTCACATGAAAAAGCGCCTAACATTAACTCTTTTAGCTTTATGAACCTTATCTCAAATATAAATGCTCATTTTCAAAGCCTGACAAAAAACATGAATGAGTACATGAAACTTTGTGACGAGGCACAGAGCAAGATCATAAAAACCATTTATATGGCAAATATATAGCCTTTAAGATATGTTTAATCAACATATTTTAGTGGGCATTATTATGCTAATGGTTAGATCTGTAGATATGGAAAAAGGTATCAAAAACAAAACCCCTATGTAACTTTACCTGATTAAAATAATTTAAATGAAGTAGAGAAAACAATTACATAAGGGTTAACATTTTCATTTTATATTACGTTAGACCAAGGTACATTATCTCCCTGCAAATTCTTCAGAAGCCGAGTTCTCTAATTTTTTTAGAAATGTTATGCTATGACTTCTACACTTTTTAAAAATGACTCTAAAAGTTAGGCATATACTATAGAACTTAACCTTACAAAATTATTTTTGTCACATGCTGAGTGAGCTTGTTAAAAACCAAATGGGGAATTTCAGTGTATCAGCAGATAGAAGAAAGGAAAAGTCGGAATTTCAAACATCCAATTTCTTTAATCATGTGTTCAGAACGAGGCAGCTTGGTCTAGAAAGGGTACGAGTGTAGCAGCAGCTGAAATGAGATGACTCTGTCGGGTCCCAAGATAACATTTTAGGCACTGTGTTGGAAATGAATGCAATTCAATAAAGTAAAAAACTGATGCTGTGAAAAACCATCTATTCTAGGTCATCGCTAGATTGATTAAAGTCACATTTTATCTGAATATTACATTTCATCTGTCAAAGACACAGACTAGCTGGGAGTGGGCTGAGGTGTCACAGTACCAGGAGTCTGGTTCGCATGTCCTCTGGTGAACACTGTCCTGCTTTGCCCACCCTGTTCCTGGAACCATGCTGCCCTTTCATTCATCGCCTGTACAATGGGGGTTTTGGACTTTCCCCAGGCTCAAGGTGAAAAGATTCTCTTGTCAACTGGCAAGAAGCTGCCCACAGTAGCCGGACCTTCAGAGAGAATAAACTCGAAGGGAAGCGGGCAATAATCTTCCTGGGTTCTTTGTGTCCTAGTAATTCTTGTCCCATTAACCATGGAGATGGCAGCCCACGCTGCCTCCGACGCTCAGAGCCAGAGACCTTGGCTGCAGTCTGTCAGTGTCCCTAAACGTCTTCACATCGTGATACCGGTCCGCCAGAAAACGGTAACATGTGCCTGACACACTGACAGCCTGGCAGGGGTGTGAAGCCCCGGCATGGCTGCTCACAGCTAGAAGCAAGCAAAGGCACTGGATTCCATTCCAGGCTCCACACGGAGGCCCCCGGGGCTGGGAGAGATCAGCATCTCCCTGCGGGCTCGGCCTCCGAGGGCTGGAAAGCTCCACGCTACCTTGCATTCTGTCTAAACCAGGTCAGGTACTATCTTCACAAGGCTGTGAAGGCGTGTCCTATAAATGTACCGAAGTCCTGGGCTCTCTGATCAAAAGGCAGGAGGCGGAAGGCTCTGGAGGACGGCAGAGAGCAAAGGCAAGTGGGGCCCTTTCAGCTTTGCCTCATCTCATCTAGCGGATTCTGCCCCTGCAAGTGGCCGCGTTGAAGCTCTGTATCTGCCCTACAGAAAGCAGCACTTAACAGTACAAGAAAGCATGCTGCTTGCACCTCCCAGGAGATATGAGGGTGCATCTACTGGCCAAGCCTCGAGGTCTCTCTAGCAACTGCTTTTAAGATACTCTTGGATAACTTTCAGAGGCTTTTCTGTGCTTGGGATGTAAGAGAACAGCTAATTTATTCATTTTAATTATCACCTGCCCAGGAAATTCTTTAAAGAACAAAGGGGTTACTCTGAATTCTCTGAGACAAAAGGTCACAGTTTAATTTCATAAGGTGGCTTTCTATAATACCTCATTTTCCTCTTCATGCTCCAATATGGCCTGCAGGAATGCCCTCCGCTCGTGGCTTGAAGACTTCTGATCAAACATGCCTGCCTGGATCACCTTCTGATCCACATTCAGCTTGTACTTCGCAGCTGCCAGGATTTTCTCCTCCACGCTGTTCACGGTGCAGAGTCTCAGCACCCGGACCTCGTTCTGCTGGCCGATGCGGTGAGCGCGGTCTTGTGCTTGCAGGTCCTGCAGAAGAGAACAATGTGCCGTGAGGGCCCATGTGCCTGGAGGGGCTGAGCAAACAAGGCGCCTGGCCAAGAGGGAAATACAGGAGGGTTACTTAATCCACCTTCACGAATGTGAGATTTTGCTTACATTTTTAAACTGCACAAGCTACCTTCTTTGGAAAAATTCAAGGTCATTCCTAGTTGAGGGAACTTGGGTTCAAATGAGCCAAGCCAACTGAAATACACCTCAGGTTTTGAAATCCAGGTCTTTACCTGTCCCTACGTTCGTCATCAGAATTGGTCCCTAACTAAAAAAACAAAACAAAAAAACAATAAATTTGGCGTTACCTACACCTAACCTGAAATTGCAGGAAATAATTTCCCTTTGGTGTAAGGTGTTAAAAGATGATTTTTAAAACATCACTGAATGATACATGCATTATACATATATACATTATGCATACACACACATTATACACACAGCGACTGCTCATGTATCAAATTTCCTGGGATTTACTTCCATCAAAGATTCAATCTGTAGTTTGGGGAATGAAAAAGATTGCTAGTGGAGTAGTAAACTGGAACTTTTTGGTAAACTTTTTTGGGATAGAAATTTGGCACTATGTATCAAAAGTGTTAAAGTTGGGTGTGGTCCCTGATCCAGACATTTCACTTCTGGAAATTTATCGTAAGAAAATAATCATGGATATGCACAAAGATCTACAAATCAGGATGCACCTCTCAGCATATTTTTTTAAAGCAGAATTACGTTAACATTCAATAATAACAGGTCAATTAAATTATAGTCTTCTACTGTATGTATGTACCAACGTAGTACCATAAAAATTATACTGTAGAAGACTTAATGACACAAAGCTGTAAGTGAAAACTACAAGTTACATGAGTATGCATATTATTTTTTTTAAAAAAGATTTTATTGGGGAATTGGGGGAGGGAAACAGCGTTGGGAAATCGGGGAAGGGGAACAGACAAGTTGCTGTCCTTTTGTTCTTCAGTCTAGTTGTGGAGGGCGTCACTTCACTGGCCCAAGTTGGTATTATCATTGTGCTCCTCCTGAGTGAGGCAGATCAGTCGCCAGTCACTGGACAGCCAGCCACTCACGGTGGCTCTCGAAAGCGCACGCCAGCTGCCGGCCACTCACAGTAGATTTACAGCAGCCCACTGCAGCCTCACTGCAGCCTATGCTGTCGCCAGTGACTCACGCAGCCCAGCTCCAGGTCGAGCTGTTGTTCACCATCTTAGCTGTAGAGGGCGCAGTCACTGGCCCTCAAGTGGGAAGTCACCTCTTAACCAACACGCCACTCGGCCGGCCCGCGTATTATGATCTTTTATGTGCATATCTATACCAAGAAAAGGCAGGAAGGACAAACACCAACAAGCTAATAATGTTTATATCTCCAGGTAATAAAGACTATAGGTGTTACTAAATTTTCTTCATTTTACTTTCATGTGGGATGACAAACTTTTTCTGTTTTAAACACCTGTGACTCTTCCAAAAAGAAAAAGGGTTTTAATGAAATCTTTAAATAAAAACCTTCATAAACCTATGAAGCAGAGTTACCTAATATTAAGGCTAAACCAAAAAAGTTCTTGGTATGACACTTTCATTCATGACACCGGTATGACACTGGTCCAGGTGTGGTCTCTGGGCCAATGCTAATTAGTCGTTCCCATGTGTACCCCATTAGATCCGTATACATTTTTAGGGCAAAGGTCAGATCCCTGCATCCTGCATCGCTAGCACTTGATTTTGCACAGATCTGATGCTCCACAGCTGTAAGTCCATCCTCTTGATCAGACAAGTTCCTTGGTCACCATGTAGCACAGAGAGGCAGCAGGCCAAAGTCTGCCCAGGAGATCTGTCTTTGCTGCAGGGACTTTGACAGTCAAAAGACTAATTAGGCAAGAGTTTTTCCTCAGAAGATATTTGAATATGGTAATATAAATATCGGACAGCTGAACCATGAACATGGCTGGGACTCATCCAAATTAGATTATTTTCCAAAGAGGAGAAAGTGAGGAAGATAATTAAAATCCAACGGGGGGAAAATAAATCCCTAAACTTCATTTTCAAGCCCTTAGTTCAACCACCTCTTTCAATACATCATCACCAGAGTGGCTAAGCAGCAGCCAAGATGGCAAGTTTTGTGTCATCAACCTCTTGACTGCATCCTAAAACAGGGGTGAGAAACAATTCCCACTATGGGCCCAAGACTAAATACTCCAGGCTGTCTGGGTCCAGAGCCAACGCTGGGCAACTGCTCTCACCAAAAAGCTGATATTCTTTTTTGTTTTTGTTTTTTTTTCAGTTTTACTTCTACACTTAAAAATATGAAAACCATTCTTTGTTTGCAGGTCCTACAAACACAGGTAGCAGTCCAGAATCAGCTTGTGGGTCACAGTCTGCCGACCCCTATCCTAGAAGAAGCTGATAAACCACAAAAACACTAAGATGCAGGGAGCAGCAGAGTATGACAGATGAGGAAGCAAAGGGACGGAACATCTACAAACAGGAATAAGTTCTTAAATCCTTGGGAGCTTGTTGCAATTAGTTCTCATTTTTTGCTGGTGGTGGCAATGGTGTTTGTGTGTTTAAGATCCTCTATTTACTTGGAAAGTAACAAAAATGAATTTTTCTAGGCTGAAGAAGTTTATGCAACGTAAGCCTGTGTAAGCCCCTAAGCTAAAATGGCCGATGGCTGGCGGGGGAATATCGTGACAAAGAAATGAGCACTGTAATTACTGAATGGATTATTCACTATTTCTGAGGTCTTCGTGGCCTGAAGCTTCATTGCACTGGTTTGGGTGTGATCATATCTGAAGAGAACAGCAGCCAGGGAACAGGACCTCCAAGGTGACTTTGTGGTTGACCCTTCTGTGCTAACAACATAGCTCCAGCCCCACTGGTTAAAAGTAAAAGTACCAATCCTTGTTTCTAATCAACGGGTTGGAAATGAATGTCTTGGTAATCCTGAGGGATTTTACAGCTAATTCCATATTTATATGTTCTGTCTTTGCTCCTCGCTATGGCCTCCAATTACGAACTTTAAGGCTTCTATCTTCAATCTGTCCACTTATATCAAGCAAACCCCCTATTTGATCAATATGCCTTAATTTTGATTCAACATGGTAAAGAATAATTACAGAATTATTTTTTCAGTGCATGCAAAAGTCACCATGGTAAAAAACAAACAA